CGTGCGTGGTACACTGCTGGCGTGCGTACGTGTGTCGCGGGACACACTGCTGGGCGTGTGACGCGTTGTGGTGTACGCGGACTGGGTGGACGGACGCTGTAGTACGTGGCCATGCGTGTTGGCGTGCACTGCGCACGTCTACGCACACGACTGCGGCATCGCAGGGGCTTAACTGCCGAGTACTGGGCACGCGTGCGCATTACTGGGCGCGCGGACGCTGCCTGCGTACTCGCTAGGCCTACCGGGCACGCCTGCGCGCACGCTGTGCACGGTAGGCATCACGGTCGGTATTTTGCCGGCCGTCCAGCTACTTTTTCCGGAAATTCGTACATCACTGATTATATTTTGACTTAAAATGACGGAAAATACATAGGTTACTCGGGACTTGCCGGTTCTATTTTGAAATTACTCGAAGGGAGCTTGTATAGCATCTCCGAGGCCGTTTTGCACTAAAACATAGACCGAACAACATGATTCCGACATGACTTCACTGATATTAACTTAACTACATAAAAAGAGGGTAAAGGAATGTATACCCTTCAGTTTGGTTGAGAAGTACTCGGTGATATGCGTGCGTGTTCGGTACTTGCGTGCGTCCTAGCTTCCTTTATGCTTCGGCCTTCTTGACTAATTTTTGTATGATTTTTCTCTAACTTTTTATCCCTAATTTTCCTCAGTTTATAAGCTGAAAATGACTTAGTTTTTGCATGAGAAAATACATGGAAAACAACCCACACGTTCGGTTATTTATGAAGGTAAAAACCGTGAGTTAATTTGGGGTCAAGGAGGTGATTGATGATGCATTTGTCCCTTGACGCCAAGTGTCCAAAGCATGGCTGAAGTGTTGGGCGAATTTGCCTAGTCATCGCTGAGGTGGCAGCCATGCACGGGCTTAGTCATCGCCCGTGCGTCCGTGTCGTACCATGTGTGCAAGCAAGGAGGTGACTCACCACCCACTTGCACACCCAACACTTATCTTGGACGACCATCTTAAGGAAGGGGATTTGGGACTTGCTTTGGTTGATCAAGTGCTTAGTGTAATATAAGCGAGTGCTCAAGGAGCTTAACAACGCGCGCGATGCACAGTGCGCGACGATGCGAGCGGTGTTGGTTTGCGTGCGTAGTCGTACGTACGGCGTGCGTGCTTAGTGCACCTTGTGTGCATTCATGACTTGGCTTTGTTATAACTTTGAACTTAATTCCGAACATGCTTAACTATTAATAATTAATCCCGATTAATGATGTCCGTTTATAAAATAAATAGTTCAGAAATTAATTATCGACTTTGACTTGGTTAATAATTAACTGAATAGACCTTTTGACTTAAAGTTGAACTTATTCGCTGAAAATGAACGGAATTATTAAATGAAAAATACATCACTTTTATTAACAAGGAGTTGGGTTATTACATGCACGGTCCATATGTATTCTATCATCCCCCCTCAAGCCAAGAGAGGTTGCTGGAAGGAGTTGAAGTAAATTTCAAAACCGAGTGAAGGCTTGAAGAGATAGAGGCTTTGTAAAGACATCCCCAACTTGATGCACTGAGTGAACATGAAGTACTTTGAGAGATCCTTTTGCAACTAAATCCCTTACAAAGTGGAGGTCTATCTCTATATGCTTTGTGCATGCATGAAGAATAGGGTTGCTTGAGAGAGAGATAGTGCTGACGTTGTCAACCCACACTGTTGGGGTATAAGAGCAAGAGATAGATAACTCCTTAAGTAAGGAGTTAATCCATGATATTTCAGCTGAAGCTTGAGCCAAGCTTCTATACTCGGCCTCAGTGCTATACCTAGATATAGAGGTCTGTTTCTTGCAACACCAAGATATTAGATTCTTGCCAAGGTAAATGCAGATACCTGATGTAGACCTTCTGTCATCTAGGTCATTGGCCCAATCAGAGTCTGAGAAGCCAGTGACATGCAGGCTTGTGTTCTTGGCATAATGCAGTCCATGTGAGAGTGTACCAACAAGATATCTGAAAATAATTTTCACAGCCTTCCAGTGAGTGTCCATAGGGCACTGCATGAATTGGCAAACCTTGTTCACACTATAGGCTATATCTGGTCTTGTGATAAAAGAATACTGAAGAGATCCAACCACACTTCTGTACAGTGTGGGGTTGTCCATTAGAGTGCACTGGTTTTTGGTAAGGAAGGAGGAGGAGATCATAGGAGTGGGAAGAGGTTTGGCTTCCATCATGTTGGTCTTTTCCAGAATGTCCTTTATATATTGAGATTGTGTGAGGTGAAGACCAGAAGGAACATGCCTAACCTCAATGCCTAGGAAGTGATGAACCTGTCCTAGATCCTTCAAGGAGAACTGTTGTTGAAGTATACCAATAACAGTTGAGACAACAACCACATTAGAATCTGTGATAAGAATATCATCAACATACACAAGAAGCCACACACAAGAAGAGTCTGTTTGTTTGATATATAGGGAGCAGTCTGATTTGAAGTGACTGAAACCAAGGGCATAATTTCAAAATTGTTCCTATAATTTGGCCACTTTCCAAAAGACCACCCCGCCATTGGCCACTTTTATTCTTGGTCCTATAAATTGTCCATTTAATCAAATTTGGTCCTTTTCTAATCAAATTTGGTCCTATAATTTGACCTTTTGGTCCTTTTGTAATCTCATTTTGATCTATATTCTGGATAAAAAGGACCAAATTTGATTAAAATGTCAAATTATAGGACCAAGTTTGAAAGTGGCCAATGGCGGGGTGGTTTCTTAGAAAGTGGTCAAATTATAGGACCAATTTTAAAATTATGCCTGAAACCAAGAGTTAGAAGGGATTGTTTGAGTTTTGTGAACCATGCTCTTGGAGCTTGTCTCAGGCCATAGAGGGACTTGTGAAGTTTACAGACAAGGTGTGAGTTGTTATGATCCTCAAATCCAGGTGGTTGGGCCATATAGAGCTTCAGTGACCTCACCATTAAGAAACGCATTATTGAAGTCAATGTGTTTCACACACCAACCATAGGTGAGTGCCAAGGAGAGAACAACTCTTATTGTGGTTGGTTTAACCACTGGGCTAAAGGTCCATAGAAGTCTCCTGCAGTCTGGCTATAGCCCTTAGCAACAAGTCTTTCCTTGTATCTAGCAATGGTGCCATCAACATGTCTTTTGATTTTGAAGAGCCATTTGCAGCCAATGATGGATCTGTTGGGAGGTGGTTCAACAAGTGACTAAGTCTTGTTGTTAATGAGAGCCTTGTATTCAGTGAGCATGGCTGCCTTCCATGAAGGATGTGATAGAGCCTCTTTGTATGTAAAAGGTTCTGCATCATTGAGTTGAACTGCAAATATTCTTGGTTTGAGAGAGCCTGTTTTGGACCTGGTGATCATAGAGTGAACAGGAACAGAAGTATTAGTAGTACTGGTAACAGGTGAAGTAATGTCTCTCTCAATTGGCATATCAATGTGTAGTGGAATGGTAGAGTAACTATTTGATGAGGTCTGATTAGGAGGAGAATGAGAGGAACTGGAGGTGTGAGAGGAAGTATTGCTGCTGTGATGAGATGGTGGGTGAGGAGGTAGATTTGGAGGTGGTGAGAGAGGTTCTGTTGGTGTATGTATAGAAGAGGGGTTGTGAACAATAGGAGGAGGTTGATGTATGAAGGAATTTAAGTCATGTTGATGAGACTGTGAGGTTGTTGTTTTAGAAAAGTTGAGCTGAGATTCATCAAAAATGACAACCCTTGTGACTATAATTTTCCCAGATGGTAGTAAGACCTTATAGCCTTTGTGCATGGAACTGAAACCAGTAAATGTGGAGGGTTGGGATCTGGGTTGGAGTTTGTGTTTGGTATAGGGTCTAAGATTTGGATGACAAAGGCAGCCAAACACTTTGAAGGTTAAATAGTTAGGTTTGTGACCATATAGCATTTCTAAAGGTGAGGAGAATTTGAGAGATTTGACAGGTAGTCTGTTTAATGTATAGATGGCAGCACTAAAGGCATCATCCCAGAACCTTAGGGGAACATGAGAATGGTATAAGAGAGCTAGCCCCATCTCAACTATAGTTCTGTGCCTCCTTTCTGCAACTCCATTTTGAGCTGGTGTGTATGGGCATGAAAGTTTATGGTTAATGCCAGAATCATTAAACACTGAAGTGAGTGCTCTAAACTCATCTCCCCAGTCACTTTGGATTACTTTAATTTTGTGATTAAGCTGGTTTTCAGCTAGGTTTTTAAAGTGCAAGAAGGCATCTTTAACTTCAGATTTTAATTTGAGAAAGTAGATCCAGGTGTATTTAGTGTAGTGATCAACAAAGCACACATAATATTTGGATCCATTAGTAGATGGTATTGGGAAAGGACCCCAGACATCTGTATGAACTAATTCAAGAGGATAATTATAGACTGCATGAGACAAAGAGTAAGGTAAAGAGTGTGACTTTGCCTGTTGGCAAGAACAACAAACAAATTTATCATTCATAGAAACTGAAAGGTTACAAGATCTCATAACTTTGGAAACTACATCAAGTGCCACATGGCCAAGTCTAGAGTGCCAAAGGGCTAAATCATTGTTTTTATTCAAATTAACAACATTTGCAGAAAGTAAAGGAGATGATGGTGTCTTATGATTGGGTGATGATGAGGTGTTTGAGCAAGTGAAGTCAAAGCTGTAAAGGCCCTCTTTAAGTGTACCTTGGAGAAGAACCTGGTGTGTAACCTGGTCCTTTACAAAACAAAGACTAGAATAGAAGACAAAGTAGACAGAGTTATCAAGAGCAAATTGTGACACACTCAGTAAGTTCTTTGTTATGGTGGGCACATGAAGTAAGTTCTTAAGAAATAGAGGTCTAGACAGGTTTGATGAGTGTTGAATGTGAGATTGCCAATATGAGAGATGGGCAAACCTGAGCCATTACCAACATGAAGTCTGTTGTTCCTTTGATAGTCAGAGGCAATGTTGAGATTGGCAAGATCATTTGTGACATGATTTGATGCTCCTGAGTCAGCAAACCACAATGAATTTGGGTTGGGATCAGGTGAAGTAACCAATGCATTGAGATGTGAAGTCCCATGGTTGTGTGGCTGGTAGGTGTTGCTTGGTTGAGTCTGAACTGTCTGAGCTTGCATGGTGGTGGGTGGAGGATAAGAGCTATCATGTGTGTGGAAACACCTGTCTGCTGTATGATTGTTGAGGCCACACAGCTGGCAAGATGGCCTTGCATTGAGTTTTTGTAGCCCCTACCACCTCTTCCTCTGTAGTTGGGAGACCTTCCTCTACCTCTGTGGTTGGAAAACCCTTCTCTAGTGTTGTTGTTGGTGGGAAAGGGTGAAGGGGATTTCTGGTTTGTAGAGGAATTGTTTCGAGGTAGGTTAGAACTGGGTATGGAGCCATCTGGGTTCACAAGAGTTTGAGTGGAGATATCTAGCCTAGATTCAAGGCTGAGTAGCATAGCATAGACTTCGTTAAGGGAGTGGGGTTCCACTCTTGATGTCACAGCCACAACAGCTGGGTTGTACTCAGTGCCTAGCCCAACAAGGATGTATAAGATCTGATTTTGTTCTGAGACTGGTTCTCCTGAAACACCAAGGGCAACACAACAGGCCTTGACTTTGCCCAGAAATTCTCTCATATTGCTAGATCCCTTCTTTAGGGTTTGAAGCTGCAGCTTGTGGTGCATAAGTCTTGCTTTTGAGAGCCCAGAGAAGTTAGATTCTAGGGAGCTCCACACCTCTTGAGAGTTAGTCTTGCAAACCATCATTATAAGAAGGTTTTCACTCAGTGATGAAAGTAACCAAGACATGAGTAGTTGATCTTGTCTTACCCATGTGGCAAACTCTGGGTTGAGAGAGGGTGCATCTGTACTGCCAGATGAGAGAAACCTCGGGGGTGGAGTGGAATCTGCAGCAATGAAGCTTTCCAAACCATACCCAATAATAGAACTGTAGGTTTGTTGCCTCCATAACAGGTAGTTTGAATCTGTGAGTTTAATGAAGATTAGCTGGTGCTGTGGATGAATGAAGGGGGTGGGGTTGGTGGCCATGGTATTAACGTTGCTCTCTGAGGATCTTGAAGATGACATGATTTAAATGGAGCAGTGGATCTGAGGATAAGGCTTGTAGAGTCACATGAACTTAAAAACAAGTAGCAGATCTGAAGGTGGGGTGAGTGGATCTTGAGGTCCAAGGAACAAAAAAGATATTGAGTGCTCTTGATACCATGTTAAGATCTTAAAGCAATATTGATTTGAAAATGAAGAGACAGCAGAAGGGAGTGAATGCTCAATCAGGTTCTTCCATTTTCATGAAACATATGACAACATGCTTTTTTGTTCTTCATTACCCTAGGTTACAAATGTGGTAAGGTATTTATACACAAGATGATCATTATCCTACGGTTCTCATTGCATGATCTTGGTTTTTGTCATTTTCCTTCCATGCTATTTTATGTTGACATGGTTTGACCTCTCGTTGATCGGTCTTGTCTTGTATGGATTCACGAGCTGATGTGGCACTGCATGCACGGTCCATATGTATTCTATCAGATACCTACTTCTCGCACGACTTGAACGAAAGAGATTAGGAGAGGGAGAGGAGAGAAATATTTTTCTCTTCTTGTTTTGAGAGAGAGTGAGCGTGAGATTGAGAGCGTGAGTTTGAAAGAGAACGAGAGATTGAGAGAGAGCATGTCTTCACGCAAAATTTAGACAGAGAGAGAGGGGGAGATCTTGCATTTATATATACAACACTTGGGTTAGCTAAACTTATTATCCAAGAAACACAACTCACCAAAGAGAGAGAGAGAAAAAATGGGCTGGGTAGGGCTTGGGATCATGCGGGCTGGAAATGCGGGGCGCGCGGGTTCGACGCACGGGCTCGGAGTTTTCCTTCTCGGTTCGGACGAACGACAAAATAAATTAAACCGGACAATATATATAAACACACACAATATTAATTTAAATAAATAAGTAACTAAACAATTAGGCAATTAATAGGAATAATAATAATAATAATAATAATAATAATAATAATAATAATAATAATAATAATTATAATAATAATAATAATAATGCCAATAAAATATCCAAAAAATCTAATAATCGAACGAAAAATTATATTATCTTTAAGACAATATAATGTGATGGCTTTAATCGAGAAATAATCATAAATAGCCCAAAATAAATCAATACCATGAAATTTCATAAAACCCAAAAATCAAATAAATTCTATTATTTGAACGGGGCGCTACACTTACCCCTAAGTACTTAAATTTCAACCATTATCTAGTGTTCTTCGTTTGAGAGAGGACTATAACGCGACATAGATTAAGACGTATATGAACGTCTGTGGATGCTCTAGTCGGGTGTTCAAGTACACCCCTAATTTATCAACATCGACAATCACGCATTGTCCCAATCTGGTGTTGTCCCCCAGGCCTTTATGCCTCACCTTTTCTGTCTCACTATCTTCATATCGATTGCTAGTTCTATTGGCAATCCCATCGACGTTCTACGACCAACCGATTGAGATTATTTGTCGTACGGGTGTGCGTTGAGGTTGACATTCGTGGGAACTCATCGAGGAGATTGAGCTAAACCAAGGAGGGAGGATCACCACCAAGAAGGTGGTCTATGAGAGAATTCCTCCTTTTTGTTCTCTTTGTGACCATGTGGATCACGCTGCAGCTGACTGCGCTCTAGGAGCAACAAGCCCCAACCGTCACTTCCCTCGCGCCGCTGCGTGACCAGATCGGGACTCTCATCTTCTCAGGTGGACCCAATGAGGAAGGGTATGGCCCTTCTCCAAGCGCCTGAGTCCCAAAAGGATAAAAGGATAAGGGTAAAGCCACTATTGAGTCCACCTCTCAGGTTGGGAAGGTTTCCCAGCCTACCGTCCCAAGGGGGTGGCTTTGGACATTCCAAAATACAAAGCCAAGAGTTTTTTTCCACATCAGGCTCTACATACTGCTTCTTTGACCGTTCGCTCTATTTTCCCTATCCTCTCGACAGAGGCGGAGAAAGATCCCGCATCTTCCTCTGGCCCACTTAGAGACACGTCCAGCTCTTCTCTTGATGATGATGATCTGTTGGATGATGAAAAGGCCCTGTCCGTCTCCTTAGCGAGTATTGTCCACTTCCCCCCTCGCCGCCAGCTCTCGTGTCACTACAGCGCCCTGTGAGCCCGTTATCTCTTCGGAGGGTCCCTAGATTTTGAGACCTCCTACCATCTCTACCGCCTCCACGACCTCGTGGAAACTGAGGCCCCTTCTGTCCCTTCCCCCGAGTGTCTGCATTTGGTAGCACCAACAACTAGTGTCATTTCTCTACTCACAATTGGAGTCCTTTCTACCCTGTCTGCTGACCCTCTCTGTATTTCCCCCCCAGGGGTCGAGACATACACCTGGCCATGTCTGGGCCCTGGCCATCGCAGGACCGGGAGGTCATCAGTCTGATGACTCTTCTTCAGAGCCAATTCCACCGCCGAAGGATTTCCTCTCGAAAAGCCCCGACCACCATCACCACCTTCGGATCTGATCTCTGAAGGATATTCTTTCTTAGAGCCCAAACCACCACCTCCTCAGACTAGATCTAGGACCACACAACGATCGATTAACCATGCCTTACCCCCCCCCCC